GTGACCGGACCATCGAGCTGCCCAGCGCCGACCTGGAGGTCCAGGCTGGCCAGGTGGGCGTCAAGGTCCTGGAGGGCCAGCTGCCCGAGGGAGACCTGGCCTCCGGAGCCGGCCTCAAGGGCCACCTGCCCAAGGTGCAGATGCCCAGCTTCAAGATGCCCAAGGTGGACATCAAGGGCCCCCACGTGGACGTCACGGGCCCCAAACTTTATGCGCAGCCATGTGTCGGGACTCTAGTGTCCCCCCATGATAGTCACCCTTTCCTGGGGTGTCCTGCAATTGCTGCTGCGCCTAGTCAAGTGACTTTTCCTAAATTCCATAAACCTAAGTTTGGATTTTCTGTCCCAAAAGCAGGGGTTCTTGAGGGAGACGCACAGGCGGCAGAGTGTAGCCTGGTGCTGTCTCCTCTGAGCCCTCCTCAGGGGCTGGACTCCGCCGAGGTCGCCGAGCGGCTCCTGGCGTCGGGTCCACAGCTGCCAAGCAAGGGCTTCCCTGTGCCCCAGCGGATGGAGCCCTGGGGACCCTCAGGGACCTCGGCCACAGCTCCTGGAGAAGCCCCTGCTGAAGTGGCTCACTGTGATGGGAAAGGGAGTCCCTTCAAAGTGCCCACGCTCAAGCTGCCGTCCCTTAGCTGGTCTCCGAAGAAGAAGGCGCAACCCGCAGTTGGCCCAGAACGCGGCCCGGAGGACTTGGCGCGCAGCCCGGTGTCAGGTCCAGGCCAGTCGGACTCCCTGCCTGGGGTGCAGGCGCCGAAGAGGGATGTGCACACGGATGTGCCTCCTGGGCAGGACGGGGACGAGGGGAAGCCCAGGGAGCCTGGCTTGGCCGCGCCAGAACTCGCACTTCCCCTAACAAAGTCCTCCAAGGACAGGGTGGAGGTGACCCAGGCTGAAGCCGACGTGCCGCTTCCCAAATGTGACCTGTCTGTTGGAGGTGGCAGCACGGGCCTTGGGGATGTCTCAGCAAGCCAGCCCTCCGGGGTTGCGACAGGCCCTGCAACAGAAGACACCCTCCAGCCACCATGTAGGAAAGCAGAGGCTGACGTCCCCGCCGTGGAAAGTCCAGAAGAGGAAGCCACAGCAGGGGAGACGCCCGTGGACTCCCAGGAGCACTGGTTTAAGATGCCCACGCTCCGCATGCCCCGTTTCCGGCGCTCCTCCCGGGACAGAGGCGGGGCCGGGAAGCAGGAAGCGGCTACAGCTGGAGCCAAGGAGCCCCCCGGCCCTGCATCAAGGGTGGAGGGCAGTACGTCCCTGCGGCCCCCAGAAGCAGAGGCAGATGTGACAGCTTCTGAGAGCAAATTGTCCGCAGATGTCCTCGGGCATGATGGTGACAGCACAGGCTTGCAGCTGCTCCTCCCCTCCGCCGGGAGGCCTGAGGCCCATCCTTCTCTTTCCAAGGCCAGGACGCAGCCAGCCGAAGGCTCCCTCCCACTCTCCATGGCCCGCCTGGGACTCTCAGAGAGCCGGGCTCCTCCAGGAGAAGCAGGCGGGATTCCTCCTCCCACGCCAGGAGAGCGTGACCTGGCCGGGGTGGAGGAGACGACAGGGAAACCGTGTTCCCTGCCGGAAGGTCCTCTTAAACTGAAAGCTTCAAGTACCGACGTGCCCTCCCAGATTTCCGTAGTTAGCACCAATCAGCTCTGGGAAGATTCTGTGGTAACTGTCAAATTCCCCAAGGTAAAGGTACCAAGGTTCTCCTTCCCCGCCCCCAGCGCGGAGGCCGATGTGTTCATCCCCACCGTGCGCGAGGTGCGGTGTCCAGAGGCCAGCGCCGGCGTGGCCCTCGGCAGGGAGAGCCCGGGGCCGTGGGAAGCCAGCATCCTGATGGCAGGCGCTGGGGGCCCCGGGGAGCAGCCTGCAGACCTCGACCTCTCCTTGGCAGCTCCCCCAGTTTCTAAGGTCAGAGTGCGCATCCAGGGTGCTCAGGCTGAGAGTCAAGAGGTCACCATACACAGCAGGGTGACACCAGCATTTGCAGAGCTCTCGGCGCCCCGGGCTTTTTCCACTCAGATCGTGCGGGAGTCAGAGATCCCTGTGTCCAAGATTCAAACACCTGCTTACGGGTTTTCCTTGCTAAAGGTGAAAATCCCGGAGCCCCAAATGCAAGCGACGGCACACACAGTGACAAGAGACTCCCGCACCTGGGAGGGCTCGGAAGAGGCTCCCACACAGGCCTCCCCAGGAGCAGACTCCGTCCCTGGAGAGCTGCAGCCTGACACCGGGGAACCATTCGAGATCATCTCCTCCAGCGTCAGCGCACCGGGACCGCAGACGTTCGCCCTGGAAGTCCGTTCCGGTCACCAGCTTGCAGACAGCTGTTTGGATGAGGAGCCAGCAGAGATTCTGGAGTTTCCCCCTGACGACGGCCAGGACGCAAGCACGCCGCTGGCGGACGGAGACAGGGCTACAAAAGAGAGACCGGAAAGTAAGAAATCGGGTCTGCTCTGGTCTTGGCTTCCAAACATCGGCTTTTCATCTTCTGTCGATGACACAAGTGCCGATTCTAAGGAGGACGTCCCGAGATCTGCCCCCGTGCAAATGCAGCCCGAGGCACGGCCAGACACAGAGCTGCCCAAAAAGCAGGAGAGGGCAGGCTGGTTCCGGTTCCCCAAGCTGGGGTTCTCCTCTTCCCCTGCCAAGAAAGGCAAAAGCACCGAGGAGGAGGCAGAGCCGGCGGAGCAAAAGCTCCACGAAGAAACAGTCACCTTTTTTGATGCCCGAGAGAGCTTCTCCCCCGACGAGCAGGACGACACGGCTGGTGATGATTCTGTGCCCAGACCACGACCACGGGAAGGCCACGAGGTGTGACCTGTCGGCACGGAGACACGGACAGACTGTCAGAGAGCAGAGGCAGCGTGGAGTGCGGACCTCCCCGTCCCTGCAGCGTGTGGCGCCCGGCTTGCTTCACAGCACTGGGAATGACACAAAAACACACTCTGCCTATGTCCCCACCACATGGCCCTCCCGACGCGGAACCGAAGATGTGCCCGGCTCCCCCAAGGCCGGGGAACAATGAAGACGGCCTGACTTTCCACGGACGCCAGGATCCCCCTGGCACCAAGGCGCTCTCGGTGACACGACGGGGACGTCTGGGGTCTCCACTAGATAAGCATCAAGAGACCCAGCCGTACTGCCTGTGAGAACACGGCTGCTTCTCCGAGCAAAGGGCCGCGGTGGCTGCGGTGTGGAAGTAGCTTCTGGTCACGTCTGTCCTGCCGCTGCTCCTGCTCCCTGGCAAACGTGGCTTTCCTATTTCAGGCAGGGTAGGGGGCACCCCAGGAAACCCTCCTTCCTGCTCACTGCGCGCTCCCTCCTCCGAGTGTCTTGCTGATGGCAGGCTTCGGGATGCTTCCAGTGGCGACACACACAAGCCGCGACGGCCAGTGGCTGCCTGGGGCTGTGCCCAGTCTGCGACCGTGGGCAGGGCGAGCCAGCAGAGGGTGCGACGCCGGTGTGTTGTCAGGAGACGTCTGTGCGTGTCCCCCTGCCTGCCGGCGCCTGTCCAATGTGCGCAGACCCCCACACTGCAGCCCCGCGCCCCTCATGCACACGCTGCAGCCCGACTGCAGACGGGACGGGCTTCGCGGATGGGCAATAAAGGAAGTGACGTGTCCCACGGTGGAGGCTGCCGGGTCTTTTGTTGCGGGGCTGAAGCCCACCAGGGCCTTGCTTCCCCCACACTCCCAGCTTCTGCCCAGCTGCTCTGGAGAACGGGCAGGGGACATCACAGTGCTTGTCTGGTCACCTCTGGGTCCAGATGCTCCGCAAAGCCGGAGCCTACGAGGGAGACCATGGGGAAGGAGGCGGGGCCGAGTCCACGGTGTGTTAGGGACACACAGCCCTCCCCACTCCCCCACAGGGACGAGGGCGCAGTGCAGAGCGGGGACAGCACAGGGCGGGCTGTGGCCATGTTGGGGGCGGTGCCCACAAGCTTCCTTCATCTCCACGGCCCTCCTGGGCAGCCCACAGGAGGCAAACCCACGTGGGTAGCAGAGTGAGGTTGTGCGGGGTTCCTAGGACCTCACACCCCTCCCAGCTGCCCTCGGCTATCCCTGCCGTGCCCACCGAACCCCCTGCGTGCAGCGTTCTGGGTGGGTGGTTGGGACCTGGCCTAGGCGGGCTCCCAGCAGTGAGCACTCATTGTCCCTGGGGGAGGTGGCTGCTGTCCTGGCTGTGGGTGTCAGAGCAAGGGCTGGGCTGTGAGCCACTCTGGAGCACTGCGGCCCCACCCCCTGTGCTGCGCTGAGCGGGAACAGATGGGCAGTGGCCATGGGTACAGGAGCGTGTGCTGGGGGGCAGAGGCTGGGTCCTCGCCCTGTGCCACCATGGCGTCTATGTCTTTCCTTGTGGCTGGCTGGGACAGTCACCCAAGTTAGGGGATAGTGAACTGACAGAGGGCCCCCCTGGGTGCTCATGAGTGGGGAAGGGAAGAAGGGGGTCCGTGGACCTTCCTCACGGTCAAGTGAGGCCGCGGCCTCTCCCAGCTGGGATTGCTGCCTCTGCTGCCGCCCGCGCGCCAGACACACCTGGAGAGCGCAGCCCGGGAGCATGGCAGTGGGAGGCTGCCTGGTTCCACAGGGCCTTTGTCCCTCTCTGAACCTGCAGTGAGGGCTTGGGAAGGTGGGACCTTGGTGCTGGAGGCCAGAGGCAGCTGTCACACCATGTGGGATTCCCACGTGGCCGCGGTTCTCTTGTGTTTGAGTCATCTGTGCTGTGTAAGGATGCACCACAAATTAGTGGCTTAAAACAACACACATGTATGATCTCCCAGTTTGTGAGGATCAGGAACCCAAGCACGGCCTGCTGGGCTCTGTGCTCAGGGACCGCAGGCTGCAATCGAGGTGTCCGCTGGGGCTCTGGGCTCTTCTGCAGCTCGGCTGGGGAAGGAGCCGCTTCTGAAGCGCATGTTGCTGCTCTTCCCGCTCAGCTCGGACTGGATGGCTGAGGCCTCGGTCCCCGCTGGCTGGAGGCTGCAGGCCACCCCAGAGCCCAGCCACATGGCCTCCCCTCAGGACAGCTCACAGCCCAGCAGCTTCCTTGGTCAAGGCCAGCAAGGGACAGACTTCTAGCAGGATGATGCCACAATCCCATGTCACGTGATCACGGGAGGGACGCCCCATTGCTTCTGGGTATTATGTTGGTTACGGCATGGGTGGCACAGGTCCTGTGCACGCCCAAGGCAGGTCACACGAGGGCATGAGTCCTGGGGGATCACAGGAGCCATTTGAGTCTGTCTGCCTGTCCCAGAAGGGGCCACATCATGGTGTCCCTCTGGGGTCTCCCAAGCCCTGTCAAGTGGGGTTTCCTTTGGAGCAGGGTCTGCTTTGGAGCAGGCCTTTGAGGCAGCCACCGAGGTGCAGAGGCCAGACCCCAAGTGCGTGGAAACAGGCCTTTCACTGGCTTAGGGCCACCAGGCTGTTGTCCCAGTCGCCAGAGCTGGGAGTCTTGCTGGAACACGGCCTAGAACAGTAGGCGGAATGCCCGAGACACTTTCCCGTGCAGGGCCAAGAAACAGACAGCAAACCACATGCAGCCCTGGAGGGCACTGGAGCCTGGGTGGGGGATGGGAGGCCACAGGGAGTGCCCGCAGCCTGGCTTGGTCAAGCGCAGCCCCCTGCAGACCAGCTCCCCAGACTCCGGAGGCTGTGCAGGGCCCACCTCCTCGGCCCCGCCCCACCCCACCCCCTTAGTCCTGAGTCTCCTCCTGCACTCGCCCCACCCCCTTGGCCTTGGGTCCCCTCTGCCCGCCTGCCCCGCCCCCTGGGGACCCCTCTGCGCACCTACACTTGCAGCGCATTAGGAGCTGCACTTGGTGGTGGTCCTGAGCCCCATCCCTCGTCCCCTGGCCTACGCCCTCTTCGAGGGCCTTGGTCTCACGGTTGTGGCTTCCCCCTACAACCCCTGAGTCCACGGCACCGGAATTTGGGTCCTAGAGCACAGCTGCCCCTGCTCTGGGTGTCCCCTGTCCTGTCCCTGAGTTCCCGTGGGCCCCAGACTGGGCGAGGAGCTCACACAGCAGACACACAGGGTGGCTGTGCTAGGGTGGTAAATGGAGACAGGCCCCTCGAGGGTCCCGAGGAGGGAGAGGAGGAGGAGGAGGGAGAGGAGGAGGAGGAGGAGGAGGAGTGTTGTTGGAGCGGGGCAGCCCCTGCCGCCGGCCAATTCACACAGAGGGACTCGAGCACCCGGGAAGCACACTGTGTTCTTTAGGCCTGCCTCATGGGCCAGGACAGGGGTTCTCTGGGATTCAGAGGCGGGCATACTGGAGGGCTTTCTGGCAGAGGTGGGGCTTAGGAGGGGCTGGACGTGGAGAGCAGAGAGGAGGGAACAGTTTGCAGGTAGCAGCCAGGAGCAGTCCTGACCCCGGCTCGGGCTGAAAGCCCAGGCGGAGGGACAGAGGGGGAAGCCTGGGGGGCACGGTGTCCACCCGGAGCCAAGAAGGCCGGGCCTCAGCCCCGCCACACGCAGTCCCGGCCCGGAGCAGGTCCATCCAGGCCCACAGCGTAGCGGGAACTCCAGTCCCGCTCGAAGAGTTGCCGCAGCTGCTCCTGCACCGTGGCCACCCCCGGCTGCGTGCTCGGGGCCGTCTGGCTGACCACCAGGCCCACGCCCGAGGTGCTGCTGAAGTAATCTTCTGACCAGTTGGACGTGCCTGGGGCGGTGGGTGGGAGGAGACGCTGGGTCACTGGACTCGCCCGGACAGGCCCCTGCAGCCTGGCTCAACGCTGTGGCCCCAGCTACAGGTGTGGGGACGGTGGGCACACTGCCACTCCGCTGTCATCAAACTCCAGCCAGGACAGCCCCTCGCTTAGGTGCGGGAGGGCCCGCTCTTTGCGGTGGGCGCCATCCTTATCACCTGGCACAGGTGTGCCAGCACTCAGGATTTTCCCACCTGCCCCTGTGGGGCCAGGTGACAGTTGGACAGGTTGTCCGGTCCCCAAACTCAGCTCAAGACCCTGACCGCCTTAGGCAGCCCTCTGTCCTGAGGGGTCCACGCTGAACACAAAAGCAAGGCCTCCTTCAGCGCCAGGCCGCCACCTGGGGCTACATCCCCTCCTGCGACTTGCGTGGTCTCTGTGTGTCGCTGGGTCCTGGGCCCGCGCCCACCCGAGGGCCTCCTCCCCGCCACTCACCTATGTAGGCCACCTTCTCCGTGACCATGAATTTGCTGTGGTCCACCCTGCTGAACGGGATGTTGGAGTGATTCCCCAGCGGCACGATGAAGACTTTCTTTGGAGAACAGAGAGGAGGCGTGTCAGGCTGGCAGGGAGAAGGCCGCCTTCCCCACAGCCTGGCCCCCGAGCGCGTCCTCACCACGTCCACGGAGACGTTGGCCGAGGGGTTGCTGAGGGCCTGCAGGGAGCGCAGGAAGGGGAACGTGGTCGGGTCCGTGTGGAGCCAGCAGCTGACCAGCAGGCGCACGCGCACACCCCTGCTGAAGGCTGCCGCGCGCAGTGCGTTGTCCAGCGCCGGCCAGTACCTGGGGAAGGGGAGGTCGGGGCCTGCTTACACGCCCTGGGACGCACAGGGGACCTGGCTGGAGGGGAAGCTGCCAGGAGCCGCCGGGCCGCAGAGCAGACCTCCACCTCCAGGGCCACGGGCTCTAACCAGACCCACCTGGCAGGGCGGGTGAAGCGCGTGGTGGGGAAATACTCCATCACCGAGGCGTAGATGAACTCCCGGGCGGCCCCCATCACCGCCAGCAGTGCGTCCAGGTCCCGGGTGCGGCCTCGGGGACAGAGCGCGGGCGGCGAAGCCTGTGCCAGGAGGGGTGCCCCTGAGGGCACTGCCAGTCCCACCCCGATCTGGACCTGTGACCCCACCATGCCCCACCGAAGGTCCCTTGTGGTGGTGGGGGGGGGACCAGGCGGGGAGGGGGGACGCAGCTGGCCTAGCCTGGGCTCCAGGCCGGACTGACCTTCCAGAATCAGTCACTTGCCACACGGAAGCATCCCCACCCGCTTCAGGGTGGGACCCTCGCGTGGAGGGAGGCTCCCCTTGTTCCGGTGTGGGAGCTGTGCTGTAGACCAGCCCCCGGGGCAGCAGGAGGGTTGTCCACCCCTGCCCCCCGCTCCACTGGAGTGCTATCTGCGAGCGGGGCAACCGGCCTGCCCCCCTTTCTCCCTCCTTCCCCACATAGTGGGCCCTGGGCTCCCGTTGCCGAGCTGGAGTCCCTCGAACCCACCAAGCAGTCTGTCTGGACACCCCAGGATGCCCACCACCTCCCAGGCTGCCTGTCTCCCGTGGATGGCGCTGTCTGGTGTCTTCCCTTGGAGCCAGGCCTGCCTCCACGCACAGCCCAGCGTGCGGCCCCACCCGTGGCGCCGGCTCCCTGAGGACCGGCAGATGCTGCTGGTGTCTGCGTGAAGCCCAGAGCGAAGCAGGTTCCCTGGTGGGTCTGGCCAGCCAGAGCTGAGCCGGGGGTTCTGGCGGCCCCTCCTCGACCCGCTTACGGAGAAGTAGGCGGTGGTGGGCACCCCATCAAAGAGGCCCCGGAAGGGCTGGAAGCGGTTGATGTGGGACGAGAAGTTCCGAGGCCAGGTTTTGGGGAGGACGGCCCGGGGCGCCCCCAACACCCAGTAGGTCTGGAAGGTCTTCTCCAGGTCTCGGGCCAGGTGGCTGCAGTTGTAGATGACGGCGCCAAGCTCTTTCACCTGCAGGCACGGGGCGGCTGCTGCAGGTCGCAGGGCTCCCCCGTGGGGCTGCGTGGGACCCACCCACCCTGGGCCCAGGGACAGCCCTGGCAGCACCACCTGTGGGGATCTAACGGGCTGTGCTCAGGGTGGGTGCCCAGTGGGTTATGATCAAAGAAATACATGTTTATTACCAAAAAATGCATCAAAACACACACAAAAAAGATAAAAATCCTTCCTAATTTCACTCTCCAGTGCTAAGCACTGTCACCATTTCCACGATCATTCTTAGACGCATTTTTAATGCATTTCTTTCAAAAAGGCTCATACTTTTTGGTCTGCATGGTTCCCTCGACAATGTGACTCAGGCATCTTCCCGCGTCACCAACCGTCACTCCACAGCATGACCTCAGTGGCCGTGTGGATTCCGTGACTTATCGAACAGTGTCCGGTTGTTGCCGCCATGCGGGCGTTCTCAACGTGAATTTCTCCAGATGAGCCGCCACACCAGGCAAAGCCCCAGCGAGCGCGGGAGGGGAAGAGCTCTAGGTGGGTGTCCCGTCTCCGGGACCTGGGACTCACCTGCGTCAGGGACCGCCAGTCCATGTTGGCACTGCCCACGTACACGTGCCGCCCGTCCACGACCCAGAATTTAGAGTGCAAAACACCCCTGGTGAGATGCCCCATGGGCACCCGTCGCACCTGGGCACCTGGCGGGAGTTCAGGGTGATGGGATGAACTGGCCTCCGTTACGGGCTGACTTCCTGTTGAGCCCGACTGCGCTCTTAGCAGCGGGGTTGACGCACGTCCTTACAACACTCCCACTACGGTGATGCTGTCCCCGTCCCCATTTTGTAGGTGCGGGCGCTGAGGGAGAGACCTGCCCAGGGTCCCTCTAGGCAGCCTGGCTCCAGAGCCGTGTTTGTAACGACTGTGCCACGCGCCTCCTGCTCCCCGGCCAGAGCTCACCAACCCAGCCTAAGCCTCACCAACAGGCCATAGCAGCTGGGCTCAGCAAGCCCCGAGGCCACGTGTGCTCTGCCCTGTGGAAAATGACCACTTCTGGCTCCTTGGAACCACCTGTCCCCAGTGAAGCCACCTCTAAGGAGCTCAGAGCCTGGGCCCTTGCCCTCCCAGGGTGTCCTTTCCCACCCATCCCACCCCCCGTCAACTCTGTTATTCCTTGTCCTTGTCTGTGGGTGCCACACAAGGGCCAGTGCCCAATGTCCAGGGCAGCAGGTCCCAGGGCAGTGCAGGCCCCTACCTCGGGCTGCCAGGGCCTGCAGGTCAGTAGACTCCCTGGCCAGCGTCGGGCTACTGGTGGCCACAGCCAGGGAAACGTTCCTCTCCAGTAGCTGCTGCAGCTTCTGCAGAATGGCCTCCCCCTGCAAGGCCAGGCCAGCTGTGAGGGAGGCACCCCCGCACCGGGACGCAGCCCTGCCCTCAGAAGGCCACACGGATTGCCCACCGCTCAGTGTTGGGCCAGCTATCTGGACGAGGATGACCCTTGCTTGGGAGCTGAACTCCACGCAGGCATAGTCGGAGTGCTCTGTCCCCCGGAGACCCACCCCCGACACCTGCCCCCAGAGCCCCGGAGGAAGGGCTGGCCCCACTGGGGAGCTGGCACAGGCTGGTGTTCTGACTTGCTGTGTGCCCAGCCCAGGGTGGAGCGGGGTGGGGATGGCCTATGCCTCAGAGTCGGCAGTGGGGCCAGGGGCACACCGGCTGGGAAGACGAGTCGTTCACCCCGATGTCACGCCCGGTGAGGGACCAGTAGTAGGAGGCAATGTGGACGCTCTCCTGGGCGGTGTCTAGCAGCTGCAGCCAGGCCCGGGCCAGTGGCTGGGCAGACGGGCTGCCGGCTGCAGATGGCAGGTCCTGGGGGATGCTTTCCACGAGGACAAGCCTGTGGGGACAGAGTGAGTGCTGGAGCCAGCAGCACCCAGCCACAGCACGGCCTCACACAGCCTGCTGTGTCCCCACTGGCCAAGCTGGAGGGACTGCCCTAGTGTGGCCCCCAGGCGGAGCCCAGGCCAAGGAGGGTGGGGGATGGGGGTGGAAGGGCCTGATCCCACCAAGCTGCTGGGGGTGGTGACACCCAGGATTGAGTCCAGGGAGGAGCCTGGGGGATGGGGGCTGCCCAGCCAGGCTCCCCACTGGGCCCCAGGTGCTGCCCTCAGGGAGCGGCTGCTTCTGAAGCCAAGCAGAGCAGAGCCGCGGGGTCTGGAGTGGCCTCCTGGTGGGGAGCCCTTGGAGACAGCCCAGGCAACTTAGAGGGGAAGGGCTGGGCTGGGAGGAAGTTTGCTCCCCTTTCCAGGGCAGCCTCTGCCCAGGGGAGGTTCTGGACTCCAGGACCCTGCAGCAGGAAAGAAAGGAGGAGGGAAGGCCCAGGGGCAGGAGGGGCAGTGACGCTACCCCTGGGGTGGAGGAGTCGGCCCCCCCCCAGGCTGTGCTCCCCAGTGGTCGGGGCCCCTAGGTTGCAGCCTTTTGCTGCAAAGGGCACCCCACATCCACCCCGCTCCCACACCCACTCCAGCCCGTATGGTCCCGGCGCAGCCCACAGCAGAAACCTGCCCACCGCCTGCACCCGCAGCCCATAGGCTCACTCACCGGCAGGACTCCTCCCCATCCTGTCCCACGGGCGCCCAGGCCCTCGTGGGCACTTCCTCAGGGTGCATCTGGCCCCGGGTACGAAGAGCGGGCAATTGCCATAGGAGGCAGGTGACGGTCCCAGCACCCAGCCACAGCACGGCC